TTTAAATAATAATTTAATCATATATTTTTTTAAAATATTTATTTATTTCTAATTTTTCAACTACTTTAACTTTAAAAATTCTTTTAAAAAATATGTAATTTGAATTATTATAATTTATTTAAATTGAGAATTAAATGGATTAAAAATTTTAAATCATTAAAATTAAGAATTTTATACTAATGTTATTAAGTGTAAATAATTTTTTATTCAATTAATTAATTATTTAAAAATTTTTTTAATTTCATTTTTAAAGAAATTCAAATATTAATTTAAATTTTATATTTTTTAATGTAGGCTTATTATTGTTTATGGTAAATATAATTATTAAAATTAAATAATACTTACTAAAATGTATGAACTTTCTAATTTAGTTTTAGTCTTCAGTTGAATTATTAAATTCAAGAAAATTAATTACATTAAAAATTAAATAAATAAATTTTAATAAACATAGTTAGTAAATTAATATGAATAAGATTATTAATGATATTAAAATTTTTATAACAGTTGTTCTAGTATTTCGAAATATTAGCAACTATTATTTTATAATTTATTAAATTTCATAATAACACTTTTTCTTCTTCATCTGAATTTTTTTTAATATTTATTTTTAAAATGCTTCTAAAAATAGAAAACCTTTATCTAATTTTGAGAGTAAAAATATTTTTAAAAACATTAATTAATAATAAATAAATAAATAAATAAATAAATAAATAAATAAATAAATAAATAAATATATGATTATTATTATAAATATTTAATAATAAGATTTTATGATAAAAAAAGATTAAAGATAAATTAAAGATTTAAAATTAAAAGAAATTTAATAAAAAAATATGAATGATCAGTAATTGTAGAATTTTTAAATTTTGAGAATCTATTGAATTTAGAAAATAAAATAATACAGAAATTTGAAAATTTTTAGAAAGATTAGAATTAGAATTTTTAAAAATATTTAAATTATGTTATCACATCTTGTGTATGAAATATAATTAACTCTTTAATTTTTATCTCAGAAATAAATACTTTGAATTTAAATAATAGTTTTAATTAATATGGAGTTTAAAGAATATTTAAATTTAATTATTTATTTCAATAACGAAAAGTTATCAAATTTTTGATTTAAGAAAATATTTAACACAATAATATTTTTTTAATTCTGAAAAATCGAAATTTTCTAAAAATAATATTTTTCTCATAAATGAGATTTTTTCATAGTCTTTTATCAAAACTTAATAAGTTTTTACTTTGTTATTACATATTTTTTTTCTTTTATTTTTTAATAATAATATTTTTTTGTTATTTAATTTAAAAATATAATTTTATGTTGAAAAATAAATAAACTTTGTTTTTTAAATTTATCATTTTTTTTGATAGATTTTTATTATGTTTTTTACACTACTCTTTTTATTTTATATTTAAATCTACAATATAAAATTAGTTAGATGTTTAATTATTTTATATTTTTAA